ATACGTTGATGAAACCTTCGTACTTTGCAAATCGGAGTTGCAAGCTGTGCATTGGCTAGAAGTCTTTAACTGCGCACATGCGAATCTTCGCTTTTCATACGAACAAATGTCCAGAGATCAGATTTCATTTTTTGAAATACCGCATCCGAAACTCCGATGAATATTGCAGTAGAGGCATACAACGGAAAAGCGCATGGACGCGACTGTATACCAACTTACACAGCGTGAACCCCTTACAGTGAAAACGCAGTTTGGTACAATCTCTTACCTTCAGAGCACACAGTATCTGAACACCGGTTACCGTCAATGAGGAACTTCAGAAAATCAGCGACGCTCTTAGCGAAAATGGGCACTCGGCAAATATGATCCGGAAGCACGTGAAAGTGCATGAACCTAAGCCACCTAGGTGCTTTGCCCAGAAGAAAGAATTTTATATGCACTTACCATTAAAAGTAATGCACCAGCTGATGTGTTACTTGATGCCTAAAAGACGCTGTTTTCCAAGATATCTGCCGCAGCTAGTTTGCGAATAGTTTATTGCACCAGGCCACTACTTTGCAGGCCGTTGAAAGATAAACTACCCTCCTTGGTTCGATCTATGGTTGTGGATCAATACTCGTGCTCCTGGGATGCACGATTTGTCGGTAGCACTTCGAGGCATTTATTCCAAAGAATGCGCGATCATATACCAATGTGGTTTTACAACGGTGCAATGTACTTTTCTACCCGTTCCATTTTTATCACCTGTTTGAATACAGTCATGCAAGCCAAGAGCCGGTTAGATATCCCCGTAAGGATATCTAAAGGTGAGCATGCTCGCGTAACTTTGGTTTCTATCGTATGGAGAGCATGAAAGCTACTTGCATTGTGAATAGATGGAGAAGGATAAAGTGCACAGGATGACTTCTTATACACGCCACAAAGCATGTCTTATCCATTCGCAGGTTCATAAGATTCGGCAATGATGTGATGGAGACCTCGTGGTTAAACAAAATTTCTTGTCGGACATCCCTTCCATCCATCTAATATTGTCAGTCATGTTACCGTGAAACGCTTATGCAATGCGTTATTGGGGACAAGGTTGTCAGTTGGCAACTCTGTCTGTCATGCCCAAAATATGCTGTTAACATGCTTTCGACTGCGCCATACTAATAGTGACCTTGATGTAGACTGGTAAATACGTATTTAGAGCAAATAACTTCCATACGGATAATTATGCTGCAAGGTACAGAAGATAAATACATCTTTGTGTGAGCATAGATAAAACTCGGTGCCTGATTGTGCACAAAAGCAGAGAAACAATGTAAAAATACATTAGATATCGGGTTGCATCAAGTATATTTCAGGGTTTACAAAAATTTGCTTCCCGAGATCGGTGAGCGACTTGTTGTTAAGTTGTGTATAATGCCCATAAATACATTAGAAGAAGAGGCGTTCCCGCTACGAGATCGCTTTTTAATAATTCTCCTCAACCATTTACAGCTACAAGAAAACTTGATTCAACACAGTAGTCTACCTAAGACTACAGTAGTGAATGATTAGGTCACAGTTACACGGAAGGACAACGAGCCAATCGATAGCTCAGTCAATGCAATCAGGTGATAAGCGTCACACGAGTTCACGCCCTAAACACTGAAAGGCAAACATAACAAGAAAGAAATGGTTGGTTTGGCGTCCAAGCTCACAGTTAGTCCTGAGCAAAGGTAGGTGCAGACAGTGTCAAATTTCTGGCCAATGTAGCATGAGCGCTTGTGTAAGCGTCCTCCGCTTGCATAACTCTGGTTGCAGCAGCGTGATAGCCTTCGCTTCCGAACTAGCCAACAGACTGTTTCTGAGTCCTTTTTGGTTGCATTTAGATACGGTGTACATTAACTTTGAAGGCGTTATCGGTCCCAACGTGATGCCCCGTACTAATCAGGTTTTCAAGGACGGCGTTATGGGTATTCTTAACTGTACCGTGCCGTAAAGACGCGGAACAGTGTTCCGCTATCCTCTTAGACAAACGCCTAGTCATGTGTCCTAGGTACCTAACACCACAGGCGCAATTACACTGATATACAACGAAATATTCGAAACGAGGTGGGAGTCTGTCTTTGAGGCTTTCAGCGATAAACGGAACAGCCTCGGTATGAGGTTGGACTCTTGCAGCCGGATATGTTCGTTTCACAGCGACGGACAATCTTTAGTTCAGTAACTCGTAGTCGACGTCTCATTTGAAGGTAACGGAAATGAAGACCTTCTTTCTCATTATCTTTGATATTTGTTTAGGTTGTTCAGAAACGGCAGAATGTTTGTGTATACATGTCGTGGGATACCCGTTGTTTTGTTGCGCTATGAGAATGAAATTCTGCTCAGCATCCAATGTTTCTGGACTGCAGCTTTTTGCGGCGCGATACTAAAGACACCGCACAAGGTTTCTCTTGTATTCCATGAACACAAATCTAAGGAATTGGGGGCGATCGCCCACCCACGTTGATTCGCTGGATACTCTCCTCTCAAGTGATCCATCAGCAGGCGGCCGCTGTACCACACCTCAATTGAGATTTAACCGTGCTTCTCTATTTCACTAGTGAAGGAAGATCCTTTTTCAGCTCCTTCACTTCCCGATCCTTGCGGAGATGGCGTGGGTCATTGCGGCAGAAGGTTCCGCAGAGGACCACTGTAGCTGTCTTAGAGGCAGCAGAATCCCAGCTCGCTCAGGTGAGAGTCTAACAGTTGTTTGAAACGTTCCTCTGTCTCAGCATCAACAACAGTATACGGCAACCGGTTCCAATCATTCAGCACGCTAGTTGGAAAAGCCAAATTGAGCCGTACACGGAGATTCCGCGATTTGAACAGTTTCATGCAGTGGCCTCGTGTCGAACTCTCAGTGTTGAGTTGAAAGAAGTCTTGTAACTCGCAACCCAGTTCTCATCTGAGAATGCGTCGAGTGAATATCAAATCTCCTCGGTGACGGTGGTAATCTAGAGAGAACAAGTTCAGTCGTTGAAGTCAGTGTGGACGTGACATGTCTCGCAAATCAGGAACGGATTTGGATCCACGCGGTTGAACTTTCTCTATCATATCACATTCGGATTTGGTGAGAGGGTAAGCAGCGGATAGCCGGTATTCGACAATCGGGCGTACATGCGAGCCAAAGAGGAGTCAGAAAAGTCCCGGGATCAGGAGAGAAAACCCTCTACGTATAGAATGGAACATCCTGTAGGCCGCGGCGACCCTGATGAACGCGGCATCCAGGTTACCTCGATAAAAATCAAGAGACGCAATATAGTTCCGAATAGGACGGATATCAACTTTTGCGGGGACAAATCGGCAAGGATTGGCCCTGAGGGGCGCCATATTGCAACGCCGTCTATTTGTCAGCAGTATTATTTTAATAGAAAAAGCATTGTTTGTTAAAGGTGCAAAGCAGAAGCAACTCCTTTACTTTTTGGACCTGAATACCGATGTAAATGTTGTTTTCCGCTAGGTCATTGCGAATGAAGTTAACAGTTTTATCAAAGAAACATGCATAGAGAGTGGTTATACGTCGAAAGAGCACATCAACTTGTCCCCCACATTCAGGTCTTTTACTTGTCTAACAAAATCAAAATTATCATACACAGTGTGGACCGACAGTTTTTGACCTGATACAAAATAGTAGCATCGCAAATGATGAAACTGAACTCACTCTCTTGCTGAGAAACCTAAGCGCGACACCCATATAGAAGGCTGCTTGCTCGAGCTTCTAACTCCATGTGGCTCACACCCACCCGTCGCTACGGGCTACTAAATGGGCACAAGCCTAACGTACTAATGTGTCGGACCATGGACATCTCCGGCTCTGCTGCACACACAGTTACTAAGTAGCTTGTTGACTATCTGGAAACAATACATAAAGAACTATCGGTCCACACTGTGTGTGCTACTTTAGATATTCTTAAACAAGTAAAAGACCTGAATGTGAGGGGCTATTGATGCTTTCTTTGGACTTAGAAACACTCTTTACCAATGTTCCCTTGATAGAAACTGTTAACTACCTTTGCGAATACCCCGCTAGTGTCGGGGTGGTTAGTTATGTACCGTTACGCTTACACTGTTCTCAATTGAAGCTCCATTTTGTGCATCGAGTT